AAGAGTGTCCTACAAGAGTGACCCACAAGAGTGTCCTACAAGAGTGTCCTACAAGAGTGTTCCAGAAGAGTGTCCCACAAGAGTGTCCTACAAGAGTGTCCCACAAGAGTGTCCTACAAGACTGTCCCACAACAGTGTCCCACTAGAGTGTCTCACAAGATACAGGAGTATCCCACAAGAGTGTCCTACAAGAGTGTCCCACAAGAGTGTCCCGCAAGAGTGTCCCACAAGAGTGTCCCACAAGAGTGTTCCACAAGAGTGTCCTATAAGAGTGTCCCACAAGAGTGTCCCACAAGAGTGTCCCACAGAGTGTCCCACAAGAGTGCCCTACAAGAGTGTCCTACAAGAGTGTCCCACAAGAGTGTCCCACAAGAGTGTCCCACAAGAGTGTCCAAAAAGAGTGTCCCACGAGAGTGTCCCACAAGAGTGTCCCACAAGAGTGTCCCACAAGAGTGTCCCACAAGAGTGTCCAAAAAGAGTGTCCCACGAGAGTGTCCCACAAGAGTGTCCCACAAGAGTTTCCGAAGAGTGTCCCACAAGAGTGTCCTACAAGACTGTCCCACAACAGTGTCCCACAAGAGTGTTTCACAAGAGTTTCCTACAAGAGTGACCCACAAGAGTGTCCTTCCCAGAAGAGTGTCCCACAAGAGTGTCCTACAAGAGTGTCATTTGGATGTATTAGTTTTTCGAACGTGTTTGCATTCGGGTTCGTGGGTTCCATCTTGCTATTTTAGTCTATATATATATATTGTCAAGTGTCAAATGGCTAGTACTACTATACTGTATTGCAGACTAGACTGCAGTAGGATGGACACAAGTTTTCACGAGTCCTTTTGGATAAAGAGGGCAGGGGCAGAGGGCAGTGGTGTCATATTGAGAGTGTGTCGCTATTAGATTGGAGGCCATCGTTGAGGCCACCGCTATTAGGTTGGAGGCCATCGCTAGTAGGTTGGAGGCCATCGCTATTAGGTTGGAGGCCACCGCTATTAGGTTGGAGGCCATCGCTATTAGGTTGGAGGCCATCGCTAGTAGGTGGAGGCCATCGCTAGTAGGTTGGAGGCCATCGCTAGTAGGTGGAGGCCATCGCTAGTAGGTGGAGGCCATCGCTAGTAGGTTGGAGGCCATCGCTATTAGGTTGGAGGCCATCGCTAGTAGGCGGGAGGCCATCGCTACTTGGTTGGAGGCCATCTCTATTAGTAACCTTTTCCTTCTTTGCAGTTTGGTTCGAGAAGAGAATGGAGAAGAAGGAGCCTGATTCTGAGGGTGGCCAGCTTCGCCGCCTTGATTCACACCGCGTCCCTGGTAAATGCACTGTGCATTTGAGGTACAAGAATTTCAATTCAGTACTCCAGACAGTCCACGAGCAGTTCTCTGCTTTGGATGCAGTTCACGGCCTACATACATATACATAGTGTGTGTATATATATATACACATACAAATTACAATTTGTGAATTTCAAGTCTGCAAGAGCAATATTATGTTGGATGTCAACGTGCTCTGAGGCAAGCTCTATTGACACCGCTGAGTTTGAATGGGGTTCTATTGGAGGTGACATTCACAATGCAGGGCGCTATTGTGTGGTAGGTCTACTCCTCATGAGCCTCCACACAGTGCAGTCATTGTGGTCTCGCTATTGATTTGCGCTCCGTTCCAAGTATTTTTTTGGACTCTCCCAGTCTAAGGCCGCAAGCGTTCTGAAGCAGAGCGTGGGGAGATTACAAGCGTCACAGAGGAGGGGCAAATGTAGCATGCCACAACAGTCCCAAGAAGGCAATTGAAACCACTGTACCTTACACACTCATATTGCTTGCATACACGCACACGCACACAATTGTTTAGACACATTGTGTATATCAACAAAAATATATAGACACGTATTGCTTTTAGACTCGCTGGCACCTGCTTACTTCAATTCATTTCTACCTTGAGTTTTGGGCAGTGGTGTTTTTTTCTTTCAAGGACAAGTCTGGTGCAACATGGGTGGAGCTCAACGTGCAGCTGCTTCAAGTGACAGTTCGAGGTCGATATGTGGCTGCCCAAGTCGCTAAGGAGGTTAACACCCTTCCATTGCTGCTGCATGAGAATTGATAAACTGCTTCGGTGATACCAACAAGCTGTTGATGACACTCCTTTTGTGCTGGTTTTCATTCGAAGGGCTTTATATAGAGCCGCTGCATAAAAGCACGTAGCAGTAGCATGCCTGAATCTCCTACTCAACCTTCCGCCTCTCTGAAGTCGAGGTGACCCCACTGGAGGAGGAGACCTCTGGGCACTCGGACTTCAGGGACATTCTTCGTCTCCGTGGCCGGGAAGCAAAAACGGTGCAATGTCCAAAGCTGAGAATTTTATATACACAGCTGGCACGCTACCGAGAATTTCCCGAGAAGAATATGTTTATTTTTTACATTTTGCTCAGGTGCAGCGCTCCTTTCAACTGATCTTGTGAAGGTGAGGGAGCTGCTGTCCTTTCCATTCAGGACATGACACGAGTTGCGGTATGTTGCTGTCCTTGTGATTCTATCAGATTGGCAGATTGGGTTCATTCGTGACCTAAGTGGCATGAAGTGGCGGAGGACACTTCATTGGATGGAGCGTCCAAGCAATGCATGGAGCTAAGACCATGTGGACCGATTCTGCTGATACATATTTTTTCCTTGCTGCAGAGATTGTTGAACTCTTTTGGACCTAAAGAAGGTGCATCGAGGCATGGCAAGGCGGCAGGTTATATAACAGTGAAGGACAAATTGATAGATATCGAGGTGCAGCTTGGCCGAGCCTTGCGGCTTAGGCACTTCCTGTGCTGACAGATGCAGACCGTATCTATGACGTCGAGGATTTAGATGCATCAGAGGGCTTCATCGCCGAACTCTTTGAGCTGAATACTCAGCAACCTGACATGCTATACATGTGTGACACATGACACAAGGTGCATGCTTTACAGAGCACTGTGGAAAATGTATATACCCATGTGCAATGCATGAATGTGCAATGCACGAAGGGCGCCGCCACGCAGAACTTATTGTGTATTTTGGATTATTTTGGTTGATCTACACAAACTCAAGAATTTGCATAGGGAGTGACTTTCTTAGGCCAGTGCGACGGCAATTCTTTGCCCAACCAGTTGTGCCTCAGGCACGATCACAAGAACAAAATTTGACAATCAGGACATGATTTTGGGAAAGTGCTGCACTGACGCGCAGGACATTCTCTTTTTCCTCCAGGAAGAAATTCCAGAAGGAGCAGCCCTGATCTGAGGGAAGTACCACACCTTGCCACACCTGCCAGCGCTGAATTGTGTGCCTTTTACTTTTGCAAAGTTTCACAAGGACCCAAAAACCCAAGGCTGTGGCTATGCTGACAGGGGTGCATCCCAGGCAGAAATTCTGTTTCCTGTTTACGTAGACACGGATGAATTTCGGAGCCGCAGGATTCGTGGACGCGTGTGGAAAGAGGTTTTGGTATTCCGGGTGCAGAGCCCAGCATTGACTATGAGGGTGCGGCTTTACGACAGCTTGAAGACTACGCAAGCTGGCTAAGCAAGCAGCTGTTTTACAGCCCATAGGAGCTCCGTGTTGTTCACATCTATGGCATCCTGAACTATGGTGGACAGTGCAAGTACCCCAGAATTTGCGTGCAGATTTATGAAAATAGGCTGTTCAGGCTCTGCTGCGCCTGTGCCACTCAATGGTCAATCCTTCAGTCGTCTAGTGTCCATGGCTTAGGCTACCGGCGACTGGAGTACACGACGAACTGCAAGTACGCATTGTCAGGCATTTGCGCTAATACTTTGAATCCATTTTTGTAGACTGTGGACAGCAGGCTTTATGGACTACTTGTTCTAGAAGCCTCACAGATCCAGTTGCTGTAATTGTAGTAGGCCTGCAGCCGGCTTTCCAGAATCGACCATCACCGTGGCCAGAATGGGGACGTCATCAGGCAGCTTTGACTCTTCAAAAGAAGAATTGATAAGAGTAGAAGAGTTGTAATAGCCAACCCAATGGCGATGGCCTCCAACCTATCAGCGATGGCCTCCAATCTAATTGGGATGGCCTCCAACCTAATAGCGATAGCCTCCAACCCAATGGCGAGGGCCTCCAACCTACCAGCGATGGCCTCCAACCTGATAGCGATGGTCTCCAACCTAGTAGCGATGGCCTCCAACCTAACAGCGATGGCCTCCAACCTACTAGCGATGGCCTCCACCTACTAGCGATGGCCTCCAACGTACTAGCAATGGCCTCCAACCTATCAGCGATGGCCTCCAAGCCAATAGCGATGGCCTCCAACCTAGTAGCGATGGCCTCCATCCTAGTAGCGACCGACGGCCTCCAACCTACTTGCGATGGCCTCCAACCTAATAGGCATGGCCTCCAACCTAATTGGGATGGCCTCCAACCTGATTGGGATGTCCTCCAACCTAGTTACTAGCGATGGCCTCCAACCTATC